TTAGAGATATTCATTATCTAAAAGATGGGAGTCTGTTAAAGCCTTAAATTTATGTAGGCTTTGCTTAAAGAAACACAGATTTCCCTGTAAATATCCTGTAAAATGCAACAAAGAAGAATGCCAAAGGAAGCATCATCCTCTTCTTCATGAATTTTCAGAACAAGTATCTAATAAAACTACAAAGCTTATTAAAAAGGAAAACGGTATGCAAACAGTAGAATCACACCTCTTATCTGCAGATGAAGAAAATGAGGCACATCAAGGAACACGCTTTCGAATACTTCCCGTTGTTTTAAGAAATGGAAGTAGGGAGGTCACTACATTTGCCTTTCTAGATGAAGGATCTTCCGTTACTTTGTTAGAAGAAAGTATTGCTAAAAAGCTAAATATAATGGGAGAGCCAGAACAACTTTGCTTAAAATGGACTGGAAACCAACAACGCTTAGAAGATGCGTCAGAAAAAGTATTCTTTTCTATTTCTGGTGATTATAATGGGGCCAAAGAATTTGACCACCGACCAGCCAGAACAGTAAGAAAATTAGGCCTTCCAAAACAAACTCTCGACGCAAAGGCAATTAAAGAAAGCTTTCCCTATTTAAAAAACTTGCCTTTCAAATCATATAAGAACGCTGTTCCTCAGATCTTGATAGGCTTAGATAACTGGGACTTAGCGTTACCACTTCGAGTGAAAGAAGGTCTAGAACTTCAACCGATAGCTGCAAAGTCCAGGTTAGGTTGGACTATTTTTGCAATGTTTTCAAATAATGAAGTAGACTACACTTACCACATTTGCGAATGTAGTTCTGAAAGCATTACTAACCAAGAACTCTTTAATACTGTAAAAGACTTCTTTTAAGTTGAAAGCCTCGGAGTTCAAAATATTAAACCGTCTGTTTCCAAAGAATTAGATAGGGCTATTCGTAAACAAGAAAGCACCCTAGTTCAAATTGGTAACCAATATAAAATTGGATTACTCTGGAAATATGACAACTTGAAACTCCCTAATAGTAAACCCATGGCTATTCAAAGACTAAAGTGTATAGAGAGAAAAATTAAGAAAAATCCAAAACTAGGTATCAAAATTAATCAACAAATTCAAGATTTTCTAGAAAAGGAATATATTAGAAAACTGTCAAAACAAGAACTCTTACAGCATCAAGAAAAAACATGGTATCTTCCCATATTTCCGGCCTTTAATCCTAACAAACCTGACAAATTCAGATTAGTTTTGGGATGCAGCAGCAACCGTACAGGAAATATCCTTAAATTTCATGTTATTAAAAGGAGATGACCAACTTGCTTCTCTATTAGGCGTCCTCCTACGATTTCGTGAAAGAAAGATTGGCTTTTCTGGAGACATCAAGGAAATGTTTCTTCGTGTAGGTATAATAGAAGAAGATCAACATGCACAATGATTCTTGTGGCGAAATGGTAGCTCTGATAATCCTTTGGAAGTTTACGTCATGACTGTGATGACCTTCGGAGCTACCTGCTCACCCAGTTGTGCACAATTTGTTAAAAAAAACGCTAATGCGAAGAAATTTAGTGTAGAATATCCTAGAGCTGTTGATTCCATAGTAAATAATCATTATGTCAATGATCTCTTAGAATCAACAGACACTGAGGATGAAGCTATCCAATTAGCAAAAGAAATTGCCTTAATTCACGCCAGCGGAAATTTTGAAATAAGAAACTGGAGATCAAACTCTGAAAAATTAATGAAAATCAAGAACACCACTCACGGAAATAACGAAGAAGTCAACCTAGATCTAGGGAACAATAAGAGCATGGAGAAGGTTCTAGGAATGTGGTGGGATTTAAAGGGAGATAATTTTATTTTCAATTTAAAATGTAATAAAGGAAACAAAGATGTTTTAAGTGGATTAAGAAAGCCAACAAAGCGAGAAATTTTACAAATCTTAATGTCTATATATGACCCTTTAGGTTTGATAGCAAACTTTTTGATTTATGTGAAGATCCTTTTACCGGAAATATGGAGGAGTAACATTTCTTGGGATCAACCAATAACTAATGAACAGTTTCAAAAATGGCTTGTTTGGTTGAAACAGAAATAGAGAAGGTTTCAATTCCAAGGTACTTTTTTAATAAACTCGAAAACTGGAAGGATACCAATACGTAAATGCACATATTTGTAGATGCCAGCGAACACGCAAGTGCTTGTGTGGCATATCTAAGAATAATGAAAAAAGATGTCATAGAGTGTACGTTGATTGGAGCGAAAACACATGTAGCACCATTAAAACCACAAACTATTCCTCGACTGGAACTTGATGGTGCAGTAATGGGTTCAAGGTTTGCTAAAAACCTTTGTCAACATCTTTCCATACCTGTGCACAACATTGTTTATTGGACAGATTCTTCAACAGTTTTAAGCTGGTTAAGAAAATGAAGACCCAAGAAAATTACCAAAATATGTAGCTTACAGAGTGGCCGAAATTCAACAAAACTCAATGGTATCACATTGGAGATATGTACCTACTAAGAATAACATAGCCGTCGAAGCTACCAAATGGACAAAAGGTCCCAATTTAAAAAACACGAGATGTTGGTTTAAAGGTCCTGATTTTCTGTATCAATTAGAAAACGGTTGGCCTCCAGACATCACCCTTAAAAAGGAAAAAGCTGATGAAATATTAACCACTCATGAAGTAAAATGTAATAGTCCACCTTTAATTGATTTTAAAAGATTTAGTCAATTTAATAGAATTTTAAGAGCAACTGCGTATGTGTTTCGATTTTTAAGAATTATTTATGCAAAACTGATGAAATCTGAATAGCCTAAAGGAATATTAACCGCAGAAGAACTTTTAGATGCTAGGAATATGTTAATAAAGCAAACTCAATGTGAATATTTCAAAAATGAAATAAAACAATAAAAATCAAATAATTCTGGTAGTTTACAGAAAACAGTTAATAAATCAAGTAGTTTATTGAAATTATCGCCATACCTGGATGAAGATGGTTTACTTCGTATAGGAAGAGGAAGACTAGATGAAGCTAGAGATATTACTTCAGAAACAAAAAGGCCAATAATTTTACCGAGAGAAAGTCGTTTAACTTTGCTAGTTGTTGAAGACTATCACAAAAGATATCACCATAGAAATCATGAAATTGTAGTAAATGAGATAAGACAAAAATTTTATATACCAAAACTTAGACAACTAGTTATTAAGATTAGGACCAATTGTCAAAACTGCCAGGTCAAATTTGCTAAGCCAAAACCACCAGAAATGTCACCTCTACCGCCATGTAGACTTGCAACATTTACTGCTCCGTTTACACACACTGGTATGGATTATTTTGGTCCAATAAACGTTACTGTTGGAAGACGGACAGAGAAAAGATGAGGAGCTTTATTTACGTGTCTCACGACTAGAGCAGTCCATCTCGAAGTAGCTTACAAACTAGATGTGGACAGTTTTATACTATGCTTGACAAATTTTATTAACAGAAGAGGACGACCAAGGCATATTTATTGTGATCGAGGTACGAATTTTATTGCAGCTGAACGAGTATTGAGAGAAGAACTGCAAAAGGTTGACAGTAAATTAATAGCCAATTCACTGATTAGCCCAGAGTTAAAATTTCACTTCAACGCACCCTTTTCCCCACATATGGGTGGGGCCTGGGAGCGCCTAGTAAAAGCGGTTAAAATTTCGTTATATGATTCATTACCAACCAGGAACCCTACTGACCAATTACTTTGTAGTTGTCTCATAGCTGCAGAAAACATAGTAAATTCAAGACCAGTTACTTATCTTCCAATAGAATCTGAAGAATCTGAATCTTTAACTCCAAATCATTTTTTAATTGGATCTTCAAACGGAGATAAACCAATTGGATTTTTAAACGAAGACATTAAAGTATTTAAGTTTAATTATTTATACAAAGAGCAATTTGCAAATAAATGTTGGCGACGCTTTATTTCTGAATACATACCTGAACTACTACTTAGGGCAAAATGGCATAAACAAGTTGTACCAATTAAAGAGGGCGATATTGTAATTATATGTGATAAAGATTTACCAAGATGCAATTGCCAATTGCAATGCCAAAGGGTAAGGTAATTGAAGTTAAAAAATCACCTGATGGGCAAGTGCGACGAGCAATAGTTCAAACAAAAAGTGGAATATATGAACGTCCTGTTATAAAATTAGCGGTAATACCAATAAATGAAGACCAAAAAGATGATGAAAAATAAGTGGTACAGTCTCTTTTTCGCATCGAACTGTACCGGGTGGGAGTGTTACGAATATTTATTATTTGTATAAAATGTATTTAGTTCAATTTTAGTTTTATCATGTTACATAAAATTTCCCGTTGCTACTGTTCCAAAAAAAAAAACGTCAAAAAAAAACTGTCACCCAGGGAAAAATTTAAATAATTTAAGAATTTAGCAGACAGCAAGAGAACAGAATTTGATTTGTTTTTACGCAAATAAAACAGATAACTACAAATCCGTCAATTGCTGTCTGATCAATACAGATAAATTCCCAACAAGCACTTTTTGTATTAGTTATCATGGTCTCTAATTGTTTGATCTTCTCTTCTATGTCGTTTACATTTTCTTTAATTTGTTCTGTATAAAATCGGTATTTTCATTCTTGTTTTCTTTTATTCCATAAATTGTTCTTAAATACGACATTGGAATGTAAAAAAAGTACACGCATAAAACACAAGCACAAGTTTGGAGATTTTTTTTCCAAACTGAATATTTAGCCTATAACTCAATATGTATTCTAATTTAAATCAATAAAAATCCTAATATTAATGATGCTTCATTCGAATATAAAATAATAAGACCTGTTCATAATTCGGAAAACGAGAGACTACAAGAAAATATAGAAGGAATAAGTAGAAGTAGAAGAATAATAATTTGATTCATTGCATATTATAATTAGCCAGTAGGATGAATAGGTCACTACTCCATAACGTAGACTATATATATTTTTTATCAAGTATTCTAATGTAATTTTGCCATAATTGTCAAAATTTTTTGTCAAAAAGTTAATTTTAAATTACCTTCAAAAAATTTAAGTGTCTCGTTTCATTTTCTAAATTTTCGTTTGCGAAATTATTACCCACATCAAGTTAAAAATGGCATGCGGATATAATTCAAAATCTCAAACAAGAAAATCATTATTGGATGATCTAAAAGCTCTAGTTTGCAAACTAGATGGTTGTCCTCCCTCCGGTTCATGTGCACCATGTGGCCCATGTGGACCATGCGGTCCGTGTGTACCTAGTCCCGCGTTTTGTCCAGGAACTTGCCCACCAGCGACGAAAGCAGTGCCTGTTGGTTGTTGTGGACCTGTATGCATTCCGCCTGCCTGTGTTCCTCCATGTCTGCCAATCTGCACTCCAGTTCCACCTGCTGCTGTACCTCTGTGTAATCCTAATCAAGGGCCTCAACCATGTGTACCATGTAATCCTCCTCAGATGATGGTTGCATACAGAATGCCCAAGTGTATCCCTTGTACCAGGTAAATTTTAATTAATAATACTTAATATTTTACGAATATCCAGTGACAGTATTGTTTAAGATAGATGCATATTCCACCTGCTTATCTAGTTTGATTGTCTTACCACGTACCCGGCCCAACTCCGTTTTATTCCTGTGACTTTGCTTACATATGTGGCTATGTTTTGTGTCTGATGATACCGTTTCTAATTCTGTCTTGAAGTTAATTTTCCATAAATTAAGTCTTCCAAGATTAAAGTAAATAGCTTCAAAATATAGCGTCACCTGTGGAACTTTCTTCTTCCTCTTATGGGGCTTATCCTTTACGGATGGCTAGTTCGCGCTTTCTAACCATTCTGTGTAGAGCTTTTTCACTGATAACTTATATCCAAGAAATCCTTAACATGCGACAATAGCACTGCATTTCAAATGTTTCGAGTCTCTTCAATGATGCTTCAGTTTAGGTCCATGACTCCACTCTATACAAGAACGTAGCAGAACAACATACAAGAAGAAAATGTAGCATCTTAGTAAACAAACTTTTATTTCCAATTTTATATCGTGGCTGTTGAAGATTTTTTTTATTTTGACGATTGTCTGTCGAACTTATTGTAAAATTAGGATGCAAAAATAATTTAATAACTAACCAAGTAGAAGTAGTGGTGAACAGTAGGCGACTCATTATTTAAAATAGATCGTTCAGCCAAAAATGAAAAAGATCAACCAGTTCATTCATACATTAAATATATTTTAAATTTTTCTTCTTCTTCTTTCTTGTATGTAGGCTTTAAAGCCTGTTTCTCCTTCAATATTAGCCTCCCAAATTGTTTAAATTATCGCAATATTTTTTCTTAGTGTGCACTTCTTCGTCCATTTGGTTACTTATCTTGTGTTATTCGTACTATCCTATTCGTACTACGCCATTCTACTAATGTGTTTGTTCCACTTCTGTTTCTGTTTTGTCACCCATACATTTATGTCTATTATATTGCATGCTCTTCTTATGTTTTTGCTTCCCTCTCTATCCAAAACACTTTTCCCTGATATTCGTCGAAGTATTTTCATCTCTTAGAGATGAAGAGTTATTACCAACAGGCTAGGAAGTAAGTTGGATTTCTATCAGCCAAGAGAGCAAGCAGGTTTTAGAGCAGGATATGGCACGAATGATCATTTACAAGTAATTAAGAACTTAATAGAAAAGAGTGTTGAATATAACAAGCCATTAGTCATGATATTTGTTGACTACGAAAAAGCTTTAGACACTAAGTCATCAAAAGATGTTAAAAGCCTTAACAGAGTTCCGTATAGATCATCGCTATATAAACATGATAAAATACATCTATTAAAATGGGACAGCAAGCGTGAAACTAGCAGATAAAAGGATTAACGTATTTAAAATAAAACGGGGAGTGCGACAGGGAGACACAATTTCGCCAAAATTGTTTACATTATTAGAGCATATGTTTAAGAACGCAAATCTGAGTGAAAAAGGAATTAATGTCAATGAAAAAATCCGTAGTCATTTGAGGTTTGCTGATGATATTGTCCTTTTTGCTGACAAAATTGATGATGCAGTATCGCAACTGGAGAAACTATACCTAGCCTCCCTACAAGTTGGATTAAAAATTAACCACACAAAAACACAAATCATGACAAATCTTGTGTTAAGCGAAAAGATTTCAGTAAATGGCATGCATATTGAAAAAACCACCTCTTATAAGTACTTGGGACGTGAGATAAGCATAGGAAGAAATAATCAAACGTGCGAACTAAGCCGCCGCATAGGACTCACTTGGGTGGCATTCGGCAAGCTGAGCTATATTCTTAAATCAGAACTGCCTATGTGTCTTAAAAGAAAAGTCTTTGATCAGTGCGTGTTGCCAGTACTTACATATGGTGCAGAGACATTAACACTAATCAGGAAAGTAAGAAATAAAATTTGTGTTGCCCAAAGAGCCATGGAACGATCGATGTTAGGCATTTCTCGTAGGGATCGGATCACGAACAAGGAAATAAGACGGAGAACAGGAGTGACAGATGCCATAGAAAGAATTACGACCCTTAAGTGGAACTGGGCACATAGCTATAATGTCGGATAACAGATGGACACAGCGAATAATACAATGGAGACCTGGACAAGAAGCACATCGAAGTAGAGGTCGTCCACCAACAAGGATGATGACATAAAACGGATCGACAAAAATTGGATCCAAACAGCACAAAACAGAAATACATGGAAAATACTGAGGGAGACCTATATCCAGCAGTGGATAGATCCGGGTTAAATGATGATGATGATAATGATGATGATTTTCATCTCTGATGTTTCTAGTAGTCGTCTCGTTTTAAAAGTGAGGTCTTGTCTCAGCCGTATATGTTAATATAGGTCTAATTGCTGATTATGAATTCTTGTTTTTGTCTTGTCTTAGATGTTTGTTCTTCCAGATTGTGTCATTAAGAAATCCTGCCGCTTACTTGTTTTTAAGCTTTGTTTTTGTACTTATTTTTTAACATCTCCGTAACTACATAGTTATATCTATTCCCAGATATCTAAACCTTGCTTCTTGCTTTATAATTTTCCCATCAATTTCGATTTTGAAAAGCAAATGACAGTGTACTGATCTTCCAACTATGGATAGAAATGGGTAACTTGAAAATAAACCCAATTCTTATTAACGCCACTCAAAAATACAACGAACAAAACTTTACAAGAATTAAAATGGGACCAGAAATCACCTCCCCTTTTCAAACAAGAAAGGGGCTAAGACAATGCTGCTGTCTGTCACCCACCTTATTTAAAATCTATTTGGAGAGATCCTTAGTAAAATGGGTAAAAAAATGTAAAAACATGGGAATAACGGTGAAAGAAAACACGCTATATACACTTTTCTTTGAGGATGACCAGGTGGTAATAGCCGAAGACAGCTACGATCTTAGCTATATGGTAAGAAAACTGCAAGAAGAATATGAGGAGGCAGGTCTAAACATGAATATGACAAAATGTGAATATCTCTCAGTGGGAACAGATGAAATATGTGACCTAGTCTTGGAAGACGACAAAATCAAAGGCGTGCAATCTTGCAAATATTTGGAGGTCAATATCAACAAGAAGGGAAATAGCGCAAATGAAATCAAAGAAATAATAAACAAGGGCAGAGCAGCGACCCGTGTCTTAAACTCTCTTCTCTGGTAAAAAACAATTCGACGAGAAACCAAAAATCACATTTACGGTAGTATAGTCCAAAGTATTACACTTTACGGTTCGGAAGTATGGGACGTCACCAAAGCTAATAGAAACACACTTGTGACGACAGAAAAGGATTATCTGACACGAAGCTGCGGTAGATCGAAACTGGAGAGAGTAAGAAACGAAATTAAAAATGGAGCAAAGTATCAATGATGACATAGAAAGAAAACAATTAATCTGGTTCGGACAAGTTAAAAAAATGCCAGTGTACAGATGGCCTAGAAGAGTACTGGAATGGATCCCTCCTGAAAGAAGCAACTGAATTGCTTCCATACAGTCCTCGTAGACACACCGTCTCAGGACTAGTAACTTCAACGTGGAGTCATATGTCGCCATGTTACCTTATCCAACGGTAACTTTAACATCTTAACATATTATAAGAAATACTGTAAACCAAATGTAACTAATTATTTGTAAACGGGTTTTTACCCATATATTTAGTGGTTACATTCATGTACTCCTAGACACTGATGATGGAATATGGATTCCGAAAACGTTTTGTCTAATTAGCCCCTTGGGGTTTTTAAATATATACCTTTTGTAAAGGTTTTTTAATAAAAAAATTTTATTACAAAACTATTACACAAAAAAAATGACATCTGGCTAGCGGTGTTCAAGTTTTTTTATCTACGGACTTATTATAGGTTTAGCTATTCTATATCCAGAATTCTTATATTTTTACCTAATGTATACAATATATTTATTTTAGGTCCAAATCTCGGGAACTTCGTGCTAGTATTCTATATATTGGTTGCGACTGTGAAAGAAAAAATGGACTTCAAGATGATTGTCCCAGAGTTGAGTGCCAAGGAGCTCCATGCTGTATTAATTGCCCTGAGCCCAGATGCGGACCTAGTGCTTTTGCTAACGGTAACTACCTAACATGATTAAAATAATTTAGTAAAAATTAGGATCTTCGTCCTCTATGTTTAAGGCATATTATTTGTTTTTTTTTTTCAATGTTATATCTTATGCTGTTGAAAATTTATCATTTTTCTCTATCTAGAACAATCCCTGTGTTTCTTTTAATTGTTGACTTCCAACTCCTAAATTTTATGATCTATAAAGGTATTAAAATAATACCTCTTACTTCTAATATTACCAGTAAATCTGTAATTAACTAGCTGCGATTCTTCTCTGCTTACATGAAAGTGAAGTCCAAGAACACGTTTCTCAACAAACGCTCTAATAAGGTTTACATGTATACAAAATAAAATAATCTAACCAAAATTATTTCATTTTAGGTAAACATTTAGGAAAATCAGTTTGTGGTATGGAAGATCTAGAAAAATACCAATGTTATCCAGCCTTCGTAAGACTTCCACCATGCCAACCATGCGGACCCTGCCCTCCTTGTGGGCCATGCGCACCTTGTGGCCCATGCGCACCTTGTGGTCCATGTGCACCTTGTGGTCCATGTGCACCTTGCGGTCCACCTTGCTCACCTTGTCCGCCGTGCCCACCACCGCAGGTTCCATTAATTGCAGCTGCCCCACCTCCACCTTGCTGTCCACCACCATGTCCACCTCCAGTACCTGTTGGAAAAGTCTGCCCAGTTTCACCAGCTGTTCCGATTCCAGCCTGCCCTCCACCAGCACCTTGTGCACCTTTTGCTCCATGTATACCACCATTTGCTTGTCCGTCTCCATGTCTGCCGTGTCCGTGTTAATTTTTTATCAGTACAAAAATCGTGTCCACCGTGTCCATGAAATGGAAATTGGTATCTGTACAATTGTTTTTGAGAGTCCTTGTTATTGTAGTGAATAAAGATGGTTTTAAATCAATGGATATTTCTTTATTAAATATATTATTCTCGAAATAATTTATATCATTATTAAGAACATTTTACCGTTCAATTCTATGATTAAAGATGACATTTCTTATCGTAAAAGTATAGGCTAACTTCAATATTTGTCCAATTTTCAAGTAAAACTAAAAAGGACTATAAGAGGACAATAAATATTTGTAGATCAATCATACAGGAAATAGTTAACAAAAATGCATTCAGTATATGGGGAATACATTGCAAATAATATAAGAAATTGTAATAAGTCTAGGATGGAGATCTCTTTGGCTACGCGCTCTAAATATGATATATTATTTCGATTCGAAATGGGTCTGTTAGATATTGAAATTAAAATTCTTTGACTTATATAAAGTTATCTATATTATTACCTTCGATATTTATGACATAAACTGTGTATAAAACGATAGAAATAGTTCAAATAAATTAATATAAGATGCATTATAGCAGTGGTACTGAAGGTAAGTAGGATAACGATAGATTCCGAAAACCGACAGATTACAAAGCGTCTATAGATATGAACGTAATTTGTTTTAATCTTCAGAAAACCCTTCCCAACTCCCTTAATAACTAATTCCAATGAAAGCGTTTTATTTGCGACAGCTTTGGACGTATAATTTTTAAGAACTTGGTTCGTGCCCTATTCATTTTGTAAAAAACATACTCTTTAAAAGTGTTAACAAGATCTTCGCATATAGCGATTGCTGCGGTGGGAATAACAAAAATAAAAACATTGTAAAGCTGTTTGTGTTCTTGGTTAAATCTACTTATATTCTAGATTCACCACAGGTTTTTGGAACCAGGTCATACATCTATGGAGTGCGATAGAGATTTTAGTATAATTGCAAAAGTAAAGCTTAAGCATCCACAGGTATTTATTCCAGAGCACTGAGCTCAGCTAATTCAATCAGTTTGCAAAAAGTTTAATGTACACCGAATGAATCAAGAAAACTTTTACAGTTTTGAAACAATAAACAGAGTTATAAGTGATCCCAAAAAAACAGTAAAGGTATTCTTTACTGTTTTTTTTAAATGGAGACCAGTACGGTACATTTTGTATAAAAAATTTTCCGAAATATTTTCGTTTTCGTTTAATGAAACATTAAATGAAGAGTTTTATTTTTTACATGTGTATGTGTACAAATAGGAGCTGGACGTCCTACTATTAGCATAGAGAACAAATCTTGACGCTTAGCCGATAAAAATCAATCAATTGAAAAGGAATAATATTCAAAAACTTGATTTTATTCCACCGGTCTACAACAACCTTCCCAATGAATACAAGAAAAAAATCAAAAGCTAATACCGTCAAGTATCCGAAGAAGGATTTCAAGAAAAAACTAAAACATTGGAGTTGGCATCAAACTAAGTTTGGCGAAGATATGAAAGATACAGCAGTACTGGACTCTGATTATGAGTGAACCTTGCTTCCTACAAATACATTTTAGTCCAGATAATAATTAGTTGACCGTTCAGAATAAGAAAGGTCCAAGTGCTTTTTTTCAAAATAAAGCTGAATTGGCTATTTTTTTGAAAACTTGTGTATATATATAGTTCAGCTCAACAGGCCTCAAAGGCCCAAGGCTTCAACGGTTTTCTTCTCTTGCCAACTGAAGCCATTTTCTTCGGGGGCGGCCTCTTTTTCTTTTTGTACCAGCCTCCGTGTTTATTAATTCATTGGGAACTCTATTGGTGATAAAGCTATCCGAAACCCATCCTTCTAACATGACTTTACTTTTAGTATCATTGAGTATGCATTTAGTCAGTCTTACTATTTTTAGTGGAAATTCAAAATATTCTAGTGCTTCATATACTTTATTTCTTTCTATTCTAAAATCAATAACCAGCATGTGTAATGTTAGGTTGAATTCATATGAGCTAGCTAAAATTTGTTTCATTGTAAAAATTTGGTCTATTACCGATCCGTTTGCTCTGAAACCTGCTTGATATTCACCTAGACAATTTTCAACTTTTGTTTTAATTTTATCTCTAATTGATATGGCCAGAATCTTATACACTGTGCCTTGTAGAGCTATTCCCCTGTAATTTTTACATTCTGTAACGTCTCCTTTTTTATGCACTGGACATAAAATTGCTTCTTTCCACTGATTGGGTATTTTTTCTTTGATCCACACTTCGCGTATTAACTCAGCGATTTCTTCTTGCACCATTTCGCCACCTTCTTTTAGAAACTCAGCAATGGTACCATTTTCACCAGGTGCTTTGTTGTTTTTTAAGTTTTTTATGATCTCTATAATTTCTTCCTTGGTAGGTACTTCTTCATTTACATCTGGGTCCCTTACTCCTTCATGTTATAGTTGCGTTTGTTCTCTTTCATCTTGGTCGTCCGTACATAATATGTTCTCGAAATAATTGGCCCACCTTCTTAATTTTTCATCTGTTCCACCTAACAGATTCAATACGAACTAGTTTCTGCTCTTAATTTGACCGCTTCTTCCTTCTACAGATCTTCTTTGCTTCCCGTCCTTTTGCTGTATAAGCTTTTTTACTCTCTTCATTATTTCTTATTATGCTATTTATTCTAGCTTTATTTCAGTCACTAATGGCTTTCTTACAATCCTCATCATACCAATCCGTTAGTTTACATTGTCTGTTTCTTGATAATACTAAGTCGGCTGCTTCTTGAATTTTTTCTTCTAGTTGTATCCATCTGCTTTCTATATTATCTTGAAAACTTGTGTAGGTATAATAATTTTCTAATCCTTTGGTAATATAGTAATACTATGTAAGACCGTAGCTAATGTATAAGGAATTTTAATTATTAAAAAAAACTTTAACCTTAAATATCTCAAAACTAGTAAAATTGCACTTGGATCCCTTTTATTCTAAGCCCCTCATTTAAATGCCACATCCACCTTCCACTTAAAGTTCTTCAGTCACACCCTGAACTTCATAATATCGCAAGATAGTTATTGCACAAATCGTTCTACACTATCTGCTAGTCCAGAAGGAGTTGGAGATGTTCAACTTAAACAGAAATTTGAGTTAACTATACCACTTTATAAATGTTTGCAAACATGTTTTATTACATATAACTGATATAATAACGAAATATATATTTTAATAAAAATGGAAATCCAAGAAACGTTTTAGAATCATTTACGTTAGTGAAAAAATTAGTTATACAGATGTTAAAGTAGTAATATCCCTAGGACATTGATAACAGACGAGATAATTTCATGACAATCGAAAGCTCGTTCCTTGGTAATACCACGAAGCCGAAGGCTGAGTGCTGTTACCAAGCAACGAGCTTGAGAAATTTGTCATGAAATTATGAGGCATTCATCAATGTCCGAAAGATATTCGGCGGATAATTTTTCGAAAAAAAAAAATCATAACTCAACATAACGAAACATTTATTTATTAAAAGTACAGTTAGTTAAAGTAAAATTATTAAAATTTAAGTTAACATTAGATTCATTTAGTGACATTTTGAAATTTATTTGGATGAAGTTGTCAAACTCGATCGTGTTGTCATAGGGATTGAAAATTGCACTGAATGCAATTATCAGTCTAATGTTGACATGATTGGGTGAAATTGTTCCACATGACACAAAATGACGAAATTTGAATAGTTGTTAGAACAGTCGAAAAATTATCAGATACATTTCTAAAATCATTGGAAATCTGTTAACACATTGGCTGCCCAAATAGAAAAAATTTTCATTTTAGGCTCCAAAATATTTTTTCTTGATTTATGACCGTGAATTATATTTAACGCACGGAGCTCTAAGACCAAAATACCACTTCCAGGCCACGCGCATTGAGGTAACTCACGGAATATACTTTACCTACCGCTACAAGTCTTAGCTTGCAACAGTGCTGTTCGCATTTGTTTCGTATTAGAACTACCTATTCTGTTTATTATGGCGAAAAAAATTGATACTTACGAGAAACAACAACAATATTTGCAGATATTGCATGAGGATGAGTACTTTGATATTAGTGATGAGGATCTAGATGATCCTTTCGAAGGTGACAATTCTGAAGACGATTATATACCATTTATGTACAGCTCAGATAGTGATCAAGAAGAACCGGCTACCAAAAAATAGAAACGAAAAAGTGCAGAACTATCTACAAGTACTGTAGATCAAGTGATAAGTAGTGTAGCCTTGCGGGTTAGCCGTGAATCATTTAGTGATAGTCGTAAAACTGTGGAACAATCTTCAAGCCGTATCACGGAGACAACAGATCATCAATCTAGTGAATCATCTGAGACACAGATCACGATGGCATTGAACTTCCTGTTACTCCTACCGAATTTCAAATTACGTGGACTGCTGTAACGGGAAAAAATCTAAAGGTATTTAATTTCAATGCAGTACATCCTGGCATTGCACCTGAAGTTGCATCGCTATTAGCGCAAAAAGAATCCTATGATTTCTTTAAATTTTTTCTAACAGATTATATCATTGACTATATTGTAACTGAAGCAAACAGATATGCTGAGCAGATCAAACAAAATTAAAATATTACGTATGTGGCATTTTTCTAATAATACAGAATGTCCAAGAGATGATCGACTTTTCAAAATTCAACCCTTAATTGATCGTTTACTGACCAAATTTCAAACTGCCAGAATTTCGAACAAGAACGTATACATTGATGAGATTAGTACCGTTTCGTGGACGGCTGGCTTTCAAACAATATATCAAAAATAAAAAACATAAATTTGGGATAAAACTCTACAAATTATCCACAGAAAATGGGTATACTTTGAATATAAAAGTTTACTGCGAAAGAGACGTTTTGGAGCCAGGGATTTCAGCATCATCTTCAGTTGTTATGTCGCTAATGGACGGTGTCCTAGATTGTGGTAGAATACTGTACACAGATAATTTTTAGTACACTAGTTACACTAGTATTCACTTGGCTCACCAACTTTTAGATAAATCAACACATCGCATAGGCACACTCAGATCGAACAGAAAATTAAACCCCCAAAGAGGTTGTGAAAG